GACAAGATTAGAGCGGGATGAAGGAGATGGTGCATGTAATCCACGACTGAAGAGACGAAAATTTAAAAAGAAAAAAACTTGTGCATAAAACTGGAAAATTAAAAAAAAATAAAAATTGAAGAGACGAAAATGACAAAGTGCGTTTGCAATATGGTTTCACCTGAAAATGTTATCGGAAGGACCAAAAGTGTCCAAAATATGATAGTATGGCCGGGTTGTTAAATGGCAAAAGCGATTGTCTGAAACTAAATTTGGAATTTCCACCAAAGACATGAGACCTCCACTGGAATTAACTCATTGAGAAAATAATTAAAAATGAACCATGTGGCAATTGATGATTAGTTATCTTCATCCTGTGGGTCCCAATAAAAATATCAATATCCAATTTTTGTAAGAGGGAGTAAAAATTGAGAGTATGAGTAATATTTTCATTGAAGAAATTATGATACTTATCACAAATCATATGATTTTGATAAAATATTTAATAAAAAAATTTATTTAAATTTTATTTTGGGAAAATTGCATCTTTGGTCCCTGAGTTATACCCAAGTTCCGACTCAGTCCATGAGTTATGATTGTATCCATTTTTAGTCCCTCAGTTATGAACGAAGTGGCGCATTTGGTCCCCGATCGTTAAAACTGACCGAAAAATTAAAAAAAAAAATAAATTTGAGGTGTAAAGTAGGAAATTCACATTTTATTCTCCTTAAATCAAACACACTTTCACAACATTATTTTTCACTTCTTAGCCTCTTATTTCAAGATTGTTCAATTCTAAAAGCATTTCAATAATTTTAGTATGACTTGTTAGGAACCTGACTCTCGTATAACAAACTTAAGACTTAGCACAAACAAAGAAACACTTGATCATTGTCTTCAGACGTGTAGAGCACACTATCCTATCAATTTTTAATTTTTTTTTTACTAAGCAACAAATGTAATCAAACCAGAACTTTTGAGATACAAAATGATGTCAAAAGTTATGGTTTGATTACCATTATGTTTAGTAAAGGAAATCAGATACTTTTAGGATGATGTGTTTTACATGCTTGAAGACAATGATCAAGGGTTCTCTTGTTTGTACTAAGTCACAGGTTCCTTATACGAGACTCAGGTTACTAACAAGTCATACGAAGATTATTAAATTGCTTTTCGAATTGAAGAACCTTAAAATATAATGCTAGGAAGTTGACAATAATGTTACAAAAGCGGTTTCAATATAAGAAAATGTAAATTTCCTACTTTACCCTCAAAATTTTAAATATATTTTAATTTTTCTGTCAATTTTAATGGTCGGAGACCAAATACACATCGTACTTCGCTAAATGGATACGGTCATAATTCAGAGACCGAGTCATTATTACCCTTATAACTCAGTTACCAAACTCACCATTTTTCCTTTTATTTTATTAAGAGGTGCGCTATCTTTTCTAACTATCTATTTAAAAAAGAAATGGATAGTGACCTTAGATATCATCCAAACGTACCAACAAATCTGCCTGGAATTATTATTATCTTTTCTAAACAATAATAATAATAATAATAATAATAATAATAATAATAATAATAATAATAATAATAATAATAATAATAATAATAATAATAATAATAATAATAAATAATAATAATAAAAGTAGGAAGAAAGATACAGAGTGAGACATCCGACCTCAACTACAGTCTACAGACGTATCCTCCGAACCTTAGCTTGTTTGATAATAATAAGATTAATTTCATGTCGTACAGCCGTAGGTCCAAGCATCTTAAAGTCAAAGGTTAATGTTTGAATCTCATTAGGGCATAATATTGTATGAAATGATTCACAAAATCATTTGAATTGCTGCAGTCCTGCACACATTAATCTGAAGAATGACTTAAAAAATTTTCACTTTAAAATTCATCCAATTTATTACCAAACTTCTAAATTGATCCATTACATTTTATATGTTGGGTTCGATTAACGAGAGTTGACTCAAATTATTTATATTTTTTTTTGATATTTAGTATATAAAGTTTATATATTTAAAAATTATATTAAAAGTGTTGTTAACCACAAAAAGGTAAAATTAAAAATTATTTTTAAAATAGTAAGGAAAATAAGTGAAGAAAAAGGAATTAATTTACAAATGAATAGTAAATAACACAAATAAAATAAAATAGATGGAGAGTACTATATAGCAAACAAATTAAATTATCTTTCTTTTTTAATTATAGTTGTTCCATCATGCATGCAATATTAATATAATTAATTAAGTAATAATATTGGTAGCTTTCTTTGACTTAAAGAATGAAAGCTTAGAGAGTATTTTTATTTGCCTAAAAAAGCATAGACAATTCACTATCAACCTCATACAAATGCTGAATGCATGCATGAATATATCAATCACTTGATGCTTTCCCTTTTTATGAACCCAAAATATATAATTTTTATAGTCAATTTGTAACTTTATGGAGACAATACAAGGATTATAATATAAAAACATAAAGTTCATGTCTACAGCCTACAGGGATCAAATTAAACACCATATATATATATATATATATATATATATATATATATATATATATATATATATATATATATATATATATATATATATATATACATAACTGGTGTTATCAAAATATTTGTGTTTACTATTAATTAATAAACAAATTGTTAAGTACAGTATGTATTTAAAAAAGAAAATTTAATTAATATTAACACTATATTTTGGTCATCTCAAAAGGTGTAACATAACCATTACTATTAACCAATCAAAATCAAATCTAATTTTGCCCCAAAAATAAATAAACAAAATAGCTATAAGTTAGGCATTAAAATATAAGAAGAGAATAAACAAGTCAAAAGGAGTATGTGCTTGTTTGAAGTTCGTAAGTTCATTAAATATAACCATTGAATTATTATTATTATTATTATTATTATTATTATTATTATTATTATTATTATTATTATTATTATTATACTGTTTATATTTGACAAAATTGTATCTTTTATTATTATATATATTTTACGGGTTGATGTGAAATGATAGAAATAGGCAGAATTCTAGTCAGTAGTCACCAATGGTTAAGATCAAGTGATAATGGTAATTGTTAAATTCTAATCATTATACTTTGATCCATGATCCACATTAAAAAGTAAATCAGATAATATATTAAATGTTCATTTTAAATATACCATTTAAATAAATTTATACTCCGTAATACATTAAAAATGAACTTTTAATATATTAAAAATGATCATTCGTTAGTGGACCAGTGGTATACCTTACCATGTTGACTATAATCTACCATATAATTTTCTTTAAACTCAATTATGAATGATGGAGTGCAACGATGATAAGCCTTTTTAGTTTCTTTATTTCTTTTACAGGGGAGTTGATACTTGATAGTTTGGTCCTTAAGCCCAACCAGTTTTTAACCCAAGGAAAAAAAGGCCCAATCAGTGTTCATATCAATCGTTATACTGTGCACCATGGTGCACATAGCAATGTGCATTACGCGCCTCTCAAAACGATGTTGTTTTGTTAAATTTGTGGGAAGTTGACGTGACAGAGTGTATGTGTATTTTGGTATATAATTATGTACATTATGTTATACAATTATGTACATTTTTTTTGTACAATTATGTACATTCTGTTATACAATTATGTACATTTTTTGGTACAATTATGTACATTCTTTTATACAATTATGTATATCAGAAACAGGGAATTTTTTTTAAGAGTTAAAAGTTTGTATATTATGTATTATGTTAGATTATGTGTATTATCTTTTAAAAAAAGAGTATGTACATTCTGTTATATAATTATGTACATTTTGTTATACAATTATGTACATTTTCAAAGCATGAGATTTTTTTAAGAAGTTAACAATAGACACAAAAAACAAAAAATTTTCTAAAAAAGGTATAAAATGACATCGTTTTATATCAGGATACACAATACAATGTGCGTCCTGGTACAAATTGCCGTAAATTACGTATTCATATGGGCGGTATAATAGTTTGAAATACCTTTGTAATACTTGCAAGTTGCAATAGATATTTTGACAGACCCAAAATGTGGTCCACGTTTAATTCATGCATATATTAAATCATCTAAGGGAATTTACAGTGTTTGGTCCCTTATAGACTTAGTCCCTAATTATAGGGGAGCTTTACTTTTGGTCCTAGTCCTAGAGGCTAGACCTAATAATGAACTCATTAGTTTACTCCTTAATCCTTATGTTGTTAAGTTTTCGTTAGTTTGCAATGGGGAATTCCAAAGCCCTAATTGGGCATAAATTTTATGGTAATTACGTTATAATTCTTCCACTTACAAAGCATGTAGCTCACTTCATTGTAGCAGTGTAGAAGAGAGAAAATGAGGAAGAAGAATGCATAATTACCATATTACTCCTGCTAAATTAGAATGTTCTAGATTTTCCATTTTAAAAAAAAAGAATTAAATATGAAATTCCCTATTGAAGAACTTAATCAAAATCAGAATGTGAATCAAATACTTGGTGATGTTAATGAGTTTTGATAGAAGTATTTTGCATGTTTCGTAGTAGAGTGAAATTAGAATGATTACCAATATTGATGTTTTGTTATATATGACCTTATAATGGAAATAAAAGGCTTTTAAAATACAAAAATAAAAATTAAGGTAATTGATCATAATATAATACGGAGTAACATACAAAGCACCAATATTAACAAAAAATAAAAAATAAAATCTAAAAGCACTAATTCAAACTTAAAAATCATATTACCAATAATATGAAATTATACCCATTATTATTAATTAAAGTATGAGATTTTTAATTAGAAGCGTAATCAAATCTCATAATTGTGTTTTAAAAAGTTTTCAACCAAACATTAACTATAATTTTTTAGTGTATCGTATTAATAAATTATGACAAGCTTATTGATTACAGATTGCGATAGTTTGCAGTATAATTGTTGTGTTCCAGTGTCCCAGTTGAAATATAGTCGATAGAGATGAGCAAAAATGGATACTGTAAGGAAATCAGAAGTTCCGATGTTGTCTTTATTTCTTCAGGTCTTCACTGGGCAGGAGCAATTAGAACTCAGACTTCTAAGTGGATAAAGATTATACACTCAAACCAAACAAAAGGCAAGAAAAGGTATTCCTATCAAATATTCAAGTCTTCTCTACAAAAATTTTCTGCAAAAGACTCCAATTGAAATGTGAAAAAAAAAAAGAAGAAAGGCAGTAATAAAATTCTACAGGTTCTTTTAGTAGTTGCCAGCACCTTCCGAGCTGCAAGCGGAAGACCAGAAGAAGCCTCAAATTAAAACCCAGCAAATCTGCAGACAACACAAGAAACAACAAGAAGAATCATCCATTAGGCATGCCATTCTACAAGATAAGGCTTGTTTGGCAAACAGCGGTTAGCGATTAATAGATTGTATTAACGGTGAGTGAATATCAATTTATGTTAGCAAGTTTGACCAGCGAATTATAAAAAAATGTTTGGTAAAATTAACTGTTTAATGTTAACGGTAACATGTAAAATGACCTAAAAAGATATACATATATTTCATAATGGCTCCCTTTATTCTTTTTTTTTTTTTTTTTGTAATTTTTGTTATAATAATAATAATAATAATTATTATTATTATTATTATAAAATAAATTAAAACAATAATTAAAAGAAAAAAAAAATTATTAAGGGGAGCCTCGGCTCCCCTTATTCTTCCACTTTTCCCACATCAGTGAGAAAAGTGGAAGTTGAGACTTGAGGCTCCTATATAAAGGAGCCTCAAGTCTCAAATATTAAGTTGTAATTTCTTAGAAGATGGACGGTCAGGCTTGAGGAGTTAGGCTCCTTGCCTCCCCGCCTGTTAAATTTTTTTTTTTTTTTTAAATAATATTATAATCTCATTACAGGAGTAGAAAAGCAGACAATAATATCAGAAAATCAAATATCCATGAGCTAAGTATAACAACCTACCATATCTGAGCTAATTTTAGAGACCAACAATCACCTCTTCTATCTCCAAGTTTTGGAAGGAAAAAAAAAAAAAAAAAAAAAAAAGATGAAATCAATTAACAAATTTCAGGAGAAAGCATCAGTTATTAAAGTTGAGACTGCTGAAGTACCAGAATAATTCACTGACTCTAACATTGTGTTTACTGGATCAGCTGCCACCTTTCTGCTTGAGAGTGATTTTGTCCCCCAAGCTGAGAGCAATTCCTTGAGTTTTGCTCCTTATCCTAATATAACCACTCAGCTTACCATCTGCTTGTTTCTCAATGCTCACATTCACCAAAGCATCCTCCCCAAACACACTCTTGGCATACAAGTTAGCAGCTAGGAATCCACATTCACCCTCCAGTGCAGATCTAATGCCAAGGGTCCAATACAAGACAAACATTGTCACCAAATATGCAACACAATAAATGCAAACAACCCAAGAAAATTTTCATTTTTAAATAATGGTTGGGTGTGCGAAGGTTCTCAGTACTAAGGCTGCACTACTTTAAATTCATCAAGCACAAAAGGTCACAAGTGCAAGACTAGGAAAAGCCAAGTACAACTATAATTTTTTGTGTGAGGGGTCTGCCCCAATACGGAATACATGTTATAAGGGAATTATTCCAAGAAAATTACCAGATACATTTAATGTTTCTTCTAGATTTCTAATTTACATAAATTAAATTGTAAAAGGACTATCAAATCACAATGCAATTCATTATCTTGAAAAAGTAAGCTGCAGTTGGGTAATCAAACAGTCTTGGTACTTGAAAGAAAAAATATGGTGAAAAAACAGGTAGTATAAGAGCATGATGAACAAAAACAAATCAACAACACAGAGAGAAGTTCATAGAATAATCAATGGAAAGGGAAAACCTATAGCCTATAGAAAAGGATTTCGCAAAAATTTCAAATTCATGAGAAAGAAACAACTCACAGAGCCGTCAAGCACTTCATATTGGTTGATTTGATAATATGGTCCAGAAATTCTTTCTCGTCTTGAATGACAGTATTGACAGCAACCTTCAAAGTACCAAGTTAATGTTAGTGTCACAGCAGAAGACAAAGTACAAGATGAAATAGAGCGAGCAGCAAAAGTAAAAGATGGACTAACACCTAACTAAAAGCAATAATATCTAAACTTAATTTGGATAGCTTCATGACATGTGCTTATCATAATGAAGTGCAATTTCACCTAGAGTAATACAGAACAAATTTTCCAAATGTTCTTATAATTCTAACTTATTTATGCTAACTTGGTTAGCATAAATCCAAAATCACAATAGTCAGATTGTTTTTCACATAAATGGTCAAAAGCTAGATGATCTATATTGGTGAATATCACTCTGCATACTTTTGCTATTAAAGGCCATCATATGAACACTACCAATTACCACTCTAAAACACTTATGGACAGGTAAAAAAGAAAGATATACCATAAGATTATTTTTACCAAATCCAGAATGACAAATAATATTGTACCTTGTTCTCCCACTCAAATTCTGCCCACATAGTTCTAAAAGCAGCATCACTGCACACTGCAGGGGAGATATAATCCATGATGTCAATATGAATGTCGTTTAGCACAACAACAGTGCGCTCAAGCACATTTGAAGTCTCATATACAATGTTGCCAAAAATGACTCCAGTCTCTGTTGAGGAGACCTTGATGTTTGCTTTGATCTGCTTGTTTGACTCAGGAGCAAGAGTGTAATTCTGAGGACGCTCAACTAGTTTGAGATCACCCATAGTGGCTAATTCCAAACATAAATTCTGTAGGGTCTCCTTGGTTCTATTGATTACAGTAACATCCAGGACAATATCATAATGATGAACTGTAACATAAGCCTCAGCATAAACTGGGTCACTAAATCCAGTCAGTTGAAGAATACGATTTAGTTTATTGGCATCATTCTCGTCTTTGACAAATTCTCCGGTAGCACGCTTCAGATCATCCTGCACTTGATCTTCCAGCTCCAATTGGCTCATGCCCTAGAATTCAAGTAACAAAGTGAGATTTGCTAAAAGATATTCAATTATCAACCTTCAAGGAAAAAAAGGTAGAAAGTAACAATCCCATTGAGATGGCTCAAAAGCACAATCTTACCCTCCTGCTCTTCAAATGATAGAAATCAATGAGATCATCTGGTTGGGAGTGAGAGATTTGAGCCTTTGCTTTAATCTCCTCAGTCTCACGCAGTTGTTTATCTGATAGCATTTTCACAAAACTCTCTCGGCAAGATTTCAACCAGATCTTCCTGACTTCATCCCCAGTGTTACATAGCAATCTTATACAAAGCACAATCCTGTCATGAGAATCATTATCAATTGGATGAGGAAGAACTGAAGACTGCCCAAGCTGAATTATTGAGACCATAATCAATAATGCATCTGTGGTTGCTTTGTTCACTTCAACTTTTGATGGTTGAACTTCTTCCAACCTTAGTGTCAGCTTTGTCAGTGTGCATGCAATAACTGCTCCCAGGAAGAAATCACCAGTAAGAAGAAGAGATCTCAAGTTTCCAGTAGTCAAAGATCCTTGGACAACAGTTGGAGGAGAGAAAGCAGTTTCAGAGGCTGCGCTTTGAGTAGCATAGGTACCATCAGCAAGGATAGCAGGTCTTCGAGATGAAACAGTAATGGAGTTCACTTGTTGAGGCTTTTTTGAAGAATCAGCAGCTTCCCCTTCTTCAGAAGCTGAGTAAAATGGGAGTTCACCTAGGCACTGCTTGATAGTTGCAATACCACTCTCAACTTCAGAAAGAGAGAGACAATACTCTCCAATGATCCAAAGTGCGCAGGAACAGACTCGTGCAGCACGGATCTGGTAGAAAGTGTCCAGTAACCTAGTAACAATGGAAACCCTCAATTTTGGGTTGGTTTCAATTATTTCTCTCACAAAAACAACCACATCAATAGCAGAAGCAACATTGTTGTCACCCAAGAAATCCATCAACAGATGGACCACTGTGCTTGCTACTTCTGGGAACTTTACTGCACAAGAATGAATGGCTTGGATAAGCATTTGACGGTATTCCCCATTCTTCTCAAGCTCCCCAGCTTGAGTCTTCACAACTTCTTTCTTCAGCGTGAGGACAACCTCATTAATATTTCTGGGAGTGATCAATTCCAGAACAATGTCAAGCGTTTTCCTCCTAATGTCCAGGTTTGGGCTCGAAAGTGCTCTAAGAACATCCATTATCATATCAACCATAATATCTCTGTGAGAAGATTTTAGTTCATTGAGCCGATCAAGTACTATAAGCTTAACATTGTTGTCACTCTGAGAGAGAAGAAGCTGACAGTAAGTATTAGCAGCAGCTCTAATAGCTGTAGGGGCCGAAGACAAAGAAACAAGAGTTCCAGCACATTCATAGATAACAGCAGCAGAAGGGGCATTTAGCAGAGATATAATAATCTTTATATACCTCCCCTTCTCTGCTTTGTTAGTCCTGCAAACTTTTCGAATCAAATCCAAGACAACCATCTGAAGTAACTCACCCCAGTCTGGAATTCTATCCACATTTGTCAGTAGATAATTAATTGCACGTTCCTGGGAACAATGGAAAAGCATCAGAAATGCATTCCTCTTAGCTGATGGGTCCTGTTCTGTAGAAAGAACATTCTCAATCTTCTCAGGAGCATCTGCCAAAAGCTGCTCGCCTTGTGGAAGCTTGTATACAGACATGATAGCAAGAATTGCATTCCTCCGTACATATGGATGCCGGTGCTCCAAGTTGCTCATAATGGAAGGAATCAGAGGTTCAATGATATCAACCTCATTCAGGCGGCAAAGGAACCTCAGAGTAACTCCACGGATGTACTCATTCGGATGCTGCAAATTATTCCTCAAGTTCTGGCAGATCAAGATCATCTCAGGTAGCACACGTCCCTTAGAGTCTGTCTTCTCAATGATCTCCAAATACAACAACAACAGTTTCTGAATTGTGTGGTCCTCAGATGGCAACACATATCTAATAATCGTGATAAATAACTGGGGTAGAGTTTCCCCATTTAACAAAAGCATGATTGCTTTCTTCATGGCCTCAATCTTGGCAGAGACATCATTCCCTTCAAGGGATTCCTTGATCTCATTGGCAATAGCTGGAGTGCTCTTGTCAAAATGTATCAGCAAAGAGCATGACTTCTCCATTTCACACTAAGTACCTAATGTGCAGAATAAATAAATAATTAATTAATTTTTCCAAAAATAATAATAATAACAAATACAATGAAATGCTGCTTCAGTTGATCCAGTTGAATTGAGTATAATGCAAGATCAGCCAAACAACTAAACAAGATACATACAATGGGCATATTCCATTTTAATGATAGTGAAGCATTTATCCTCAATTCTATGGATAGATCCAGAACCAAACAGATACTTCTAGTGTAAGTATTGCTGATCAAATAACAAATGAGCATGTAATACGATCAGCATATGGTGATATCATAAGCAACTTTGCTACAAGCTAGACCACATCTACGCACATAACAAACAATGAAACAAGACGCATACACAAGGTAAATCAACTACCATACGCGAGTGAAAATGCAGTTGTGAATTCACAATTTTCTGAAATAATTAAATTAAAAAAAATAAAAGGCAACGGCAAGTTCGCTAGCTACAGATTCAACAACAAACCTTAGCAATTCAGATTCAGATCCAGGATAAATGACTTAACAAAAATCAATACAGGCTATGCTTGGCTGCTAGACAGGTTATAAGCAAAACTAGTCCTAACTGTCAATTCCTAGAGAGAGAGGCTCGATCTCCGATAGAAAATTCATAGCGCAGACAAATACAGAGATAGTGAAAATGGGAGTGAGAACAGTACAGATCTAGGGCGGACACAGTCGGTGCTTTACAGATAAGTATATGCCAAAATCAGTAGACTTACCGGATCGAATTGTCTGAAGAGTGGATCGGAATTTTATTCCGGTGGAGGAAATGCCTGCTGGGGCGGAGGGGTTGGATGTGCAGTGAACCAAGAGGTGGAAGTCGGAGAGCGGTGTTGCTAGATCCGCGATCTCTATTAAAGGACTGAGAGATTTTTAAACGCTGACAATTAGATTAACAAAAAAAGAAAGGCTAATTACAGTTTGCGCAGTGTAAATACCGGGTTTTAGATAGGGTGTTGCTATTTGCACCATCTTTTGACTAAAAGTGGGTATAAAATATCTTAAAAGTGTAAAAAGGTGAAAATTTTTATTAATTAATAGGTGGTGTAATAATTAAATGAGGTATATTTTGCTATTTGCACCACCTTATCAAACTTACAATTAATAATTTATTTGATACTGCTAATTACTACGTAAGCAATAATTAAACAAACACGAGACCAATTAAAGCAAGTAAATATTTTAATCACGGTGAAGGCCCTAAGTACAATCTACTTGCTCTGAGTACCGACTGACCGCGGTCGGGATTCTCTAACAACAACCTATCGATCATCCAAAAGTCCCTCACACTGTAGCTACTGTGGGTATTTATAGCCGCTGCGCCGGAGACAAATCCGGTCGTTCGGCATGCTCTCCACGTAGCCACCACGTGTCATCCTCCCGGGTGCCCTGTCTGTCGTCGCTAGGAGCCGCCACGTGTCCTTTGTCAGCTCTCTCGCCGAAGGGCTACCGCTCGGTGGTCGACATTGCAGCTCGGGCAACTCCCGGTCGGACCCCGACCGGGTTCTTCACAAAAAGCCCGACCTGTTACCTGCAAAGACAAGAAGAAAAAGACAAAGGCATACCAGCCGGGGTAAAACTATGTTGGTCGGGATATTCCCTACCAAGAGCCCCCCAACCCGGGCCTTTTTAACCGTCCGGGAAAAATGGGACGGGATGAAGAAGCCCAACCGTCAGCTACCAAACCGACCGGCCAGCTGTCATTCCTCCTCTGGCCACTTGTCGGCAACTGCCGGCGTCTACGACTGCAACGGTCGCCTCGTAATCAGCGCGGGTCACATCGTGCAAGTGGATTTGTTTCCTGCCCAAATGCTCTCCTATAAATAGGCCCTTGAGGCCTTCATTTGAACTTTCCTCAATCTAGCGCTTCGATCGGTATCCTCAGAGAATCCCGAGCAGAGCATTTCAGCAAGGCAACCAAGCAACAGATTTCAAGACTCTTCACAAAGCACCTCTAATCGGTAAGCTCTCCATTTCTTATTTTTTGTTTTATTTTTAGCTTTGCATAGGGGTAGGGTAGGACTAACTCCGATCTAACTTCCCGAGCCCTGTACTAACCCCGACCGACCTTTAGGTAGGAAAAACATGTCGGACTCGGATAGCCAGAATGTCTCGGTCGCAGACTACGACAACACGGTCGAGCAAAGCAGCGAGGAGGTGGACATCATGTCCTATTCTCCGGAGGTCGAGCAACGACCACAACAAATCCACGACCGCGCCCCCGAGCCAGAAGGGTCATCAAGTTCATCGGGGACATCGGGGTCGAGCTCCAGCGGGTCGGGGAGCGACGAAACGTCCACGAGCGGACGAAATTCCCCGGCTGAAGATGCCAGGGGAACGCCTATGAGGGTAATAGGGGATTACCCTCAGGCCGAAGCCCCGAGAAGGCAACCGGGCAGACGACGGGGAGGCAATCGAGGAAAACCCTGCCGGACCGGCAGCGCTAGACGGGGACGGGTTCGAGTTCCTCAATAGCGAGAGCGTCGCAACCCAGATGAGCTTGCTGACAAAGGGAAAGGCAAGCAAAATTGCCGTAACATTAGCCGGCCGGGTCGAGTTCGACACCAGCAGGCAGCTCGGAAACATCATCGAGCAGCACCGGGAGAAGTGGCTCGGGATGCATTATGACTCCCTGATGGCCCCGATCACTTTCCCCTTCTCGAGCCTTCTTACCGCATTCCTGGGCTACTACCAGGTCGTACCCGGTCAGATCTGCCCGAACGCGCATCGGATGATCGCGTGCTTCCCCCAAATTTGCAACCGGCACAACTTGGCCTGCACCATGGAGCTATTTAAATTTGTCTACCAGGTGAAGGTGCTGGCCGCCGCGTATGGGGGCGGATTCTTAATGACCCAATCCCGAGCAGATATGTGCTCGATCGAGGGATTGCCCGGGAACAATTGGGGGTGGAAGAACCGGATCTTCTTGGTAAAGTATGATTCGTGGATCCTCCCGGTCGAAAGGGTCTGGAGTCAACACTTTCGAAGGCAAGTCATCCCGACCGAGACCCAGGCCCTTAAGGACGCCGTTACTAAGATCTCGGGCGAAATTTACGAGTACCGAATCTTCAAGTCGGTCGAGTGCTATGAAGCGGCCCAGCTGCCCGATCCGGTATATGATCTGACCGAGAAATATAAACCCGAGCCAGTGGGTGTAACAATTGCAAGGATGCCCGCTCGGGGCAAGAGGAAGGGTAAAGGTCCGAGGCTAACCATTTTCCCCGACCCTTAACATCCCGATTGCTCTTTATTTTCCCGACCTAATTGCTTATTTTTCCATTTTGCAGAGATGGCCGAGTTCGGAGATGACGATGCTCCTCTTCCCCCGCCCGCTAAAATCTCACTTGGCAAGAAGAAGCCAAAAACCAGACCAACCGGGCAGAAGGAAATCCCGGTGGCCCGACCCCTCGGGACCTCGACCATCACGACGACCGAAGGCTTTGTGGTCGAGCCGAGCGACGTATTGGTCACCCGGGTTGAGGTCGCCCGGGGGAAGGAGAAAGTGCCCGAAAAGGGCGTGACTGAGGTGGGCGGCATGAAACGCCGCAGGGAGCAACGTAGTCTGAGCCCTTCAACTGGGGGAAGCAAGGATAGTTCATCCATCCTTGCCCGAATCGGCAATGCAGGGCCAGCTCGGGAAGATCTTAGCAAATTGACCCCGACTCAGGTGGCTGAGAAGATCGGTCTTGACTTGGCCGAGGTAAGCTTAATCTCCACTTAGCTTTTCATACAAGTGTCTTTGATCGGAGTATTCTGACCATCCTTAACTATTGCAGATCTCCCGAGCGGCTCAGCTCTTGCAGGGCCGAGCTATGCTGGCCGACGAAGCCGACCGACACAAGAAGGCCGCTGCTCGACGCCTTCAAGAGGTCCAGGACATCCAGGCGGAGCTGGAGAAGGTCCAAAAGGACCTTAAAAAGAGCGAGGAGGACCGGGTCCTGGCCGAAAAGGTCGCCCAACGGGCGATCGGGGAGGCCAAAGAGCTGAAAACCCGACTCGATAACCCGAACGAGCTGGTCCAGTCCGTCTTCAAGGACAGCGAGTCGGGCACAGCATTCCTTACAGCGGACCGGGGAACGAAGGTCGGGGAGGATCTAATCCTTTCGTTCGGTCGGTGGGCCTTTAAGGCCGGGCAGAGGAAGATGCTTGAGCGGGCCCGGAATCGGATGGAGCAGGCCTTGGAAGGGGACGACCTCCAGCTGGTGCTTTCTGCGCTTCCTCCGGACTTGGCCGACCCCGGTCCCTCTCCCTTTGCCCCGAAAGACAAGGCGGTTGAGCCCGGCGGGCCCGCGGCGGCCACTTCAAGCGGGAAAGAGCCTTCTGAAAAGGGCAGAGCCCGGGAAGCGAAGAAGTAGAGATAGGTTCTACTTTACTTTTTCGTTTTTTTGTAAAGTGACGTTGATCGGGAGCCCGGTCCCGAGTTTGTACCGGGCACTCTTTTTGATTAATAAATTTTGTTTCTTCTTTTTGTAAAGTGTCATTCGTCTTCTTTATTCGCACTTCTAACTTTTTAATCATTCATACGCCGACCCTTAATACTTTACCCATGGCCTTCTGGCCCGGCCATGCACTAGTCGACCGGTACGACACCCGACCTTATGGCCCGGTCGTGCATCCGAGATTTCGACGTCAAACTGGCCTACCCGAACGGCTTTACCCGATCTCCAGGCCTTGTTAAAATTTTGAAAATAAGTAAGCCTCCACGGTCGGGTTTTTCCCGAGCAACGGGCCTGTAGACACTTTTGAAAATAAGTAAGCCTCCACGGTTGGGTTTTTCCCGAGCGACGGGCCTGTAGACACTTTTGAAAATAAGTAAGCTTCCACGGTCGGGTTTTTCCCGAGCGACGGGCCTGTAGACACTTCCTTCATCCCAGCCGCCACACTATTGTGCCCTCAAGGCACAAGTGGGTGCGATAGTGGAAAGAAGTTGGACGGATCGGGGAATCGTGCTGAGAGCTCTGGCTTTCCCAATCGGTGGCGTGACCCAAATGTCCGCCGAAGAGGAACGCATTTGACCGGTCAATAGACTCGCCCGGTCGATGTAACTTAATGATGGATTGATCTACGCGCAATGAAGGTAAAGGAAATAACCGACCGGGCCGCCGTATGCAAACGGTCGAGCAATCACCAATCGTATATACATTAAACCTTCCCGCTCGCAGGCGGTGAAATAAAATTTACAACAATAAATTTAATTACAAATGACGACCGGGACTAACTCGCAGGTCGAGTCCCCACTTCGTCTAAAGGTTACAAAAAATAGGCTAGTGCCTAAACATAACGAGGTGCTCGGAATTCCAAGTCCCCTCGATTGCCCGACCGGTTGTTGTCTCCAGTCGATATGTCCCCGGCCGTATGATAGCGCTGATGATGTACGGCCCTTCCCAATTTTGAGCTAGCTTCCCTCCTTCCAAAGGTTGACTGGCCTCCCTTCGTCGTAGAACGTAGCCTCCCACCTGAAACTAACGAGGGTTGACCCGGACGTCCTTTGAACTCTTGACTCGCTTCTGATACTCGGCCATACGCCGAGCGGCTAGCTCTCTCTTCTCTTCAATCCCATCGAGATCCACGACCATCGCATGTTCGTTCTCCTCCGCGTTATAAGTTCTCTCTCGATCGGTCGGGATCCAAGCCTCGATCGGGAGTCGGGCTTCTGCTCCATAAACCAGGGCGAAAGGGGTCTCCAAGGTAACTTCCCTCGGGGTCGTCCGGTAAGTCCATAATACATATGGCAACTCATCGGCCCAACTACGACCGGCCGAGTGTAGCTTCTTTTTCAGACCTTCCAAAATCGTCCGGTTAGCATTTTCAACTTGCCCATTCCCCTGCGGGTAAGCCACCGACGACCGGACGTGAGTCGTTCCGATCGTGGCCAAGAAGTT